CACAGGTGGGCACCTCCTGGCTCAGAGGTTTCCCTTTACTGACTCCTGAGGTCAGAGTGAGAGCTGATGGAGGGGGCAGCTGGAAGCCAAGTACTCAAGAGGAGGGCCCAGGGTTGTAGCCTGGAGGAGAGCACCTGAGTGTAATTGATGATGTTACTGATACCAAAATGAAGTGGGGTGCAGGTGGGTGGCGAGCGGTCATTCACACTCCAGATTCCCCTGCTGGTGGTGGCCTCCTGCTATAGTTAGTGCACAATGGTTCCCCAAGAGCTAGGCAGTGCAACGGACTCAGTAAGATGCTGGACATTAATCTTTACTTGCATCACGAGGCTGAGAAACTGCTGGACTGAGTGATGAGGGAAAATGTCTTACACTGTAGTCAAGCACTGAGCCAAGATCGGACATTCAGGCATGGAAAAGTCCATCTTTCTTTAGAAGGCTTAGCAAGAAGTATTTTACTGCCCCCTTGTGGACAAAGCCAACACTGCAGATGGGGCAAAAGAAATGAATACAATGCATATTCAAACTATGGCAGGTGGAAAACTCATTCAATTTTCTGAAACTGCACACATACCTGTGGGGCTAAACTTGAGAAGGAAACGCCACAGTTACACCTATGCCACACCCTTTCTATTTAATGTAAGCAGCGGAATAATCAGGCATGAAAAGATATTTCTACACTTGATCTTCGCCAAAAGACCAAGAAGCGATGGTGAAAAGATATTTCTAGGAGAGTTTGGAGTCCTGGGAGAATAGAGTATTTCTCTTCAACTTCCAAATGCGACACACAGTCTGGAAGCTTATGCAAGATGTGAGTACGTGAGTTAGAATCTCTGTGCTCCTGACCACCTGGCCCCTTTCCACCTGTAAGGCAGGTAGCAAAGAAGCTGTGTTTATGCAGAAACAACTCCATTCTTCGGCCCACCCAAAGCGTCCCACGCAAGCAGCAGATTCCCTTCTGAGGCCAAGCAGAACTCTGCTTCGTCCCTTCCTGTCCTCCTATATCCCACACGTCCCACAGACACCTCGTCACATTCTTGACCTCGCCAGAGAAGCTGAGGCAGTGTCCAAGTGACCTAAGAGCTCCAGAGCTGTGGCATCCCTGCGATCCTGGTGCCCACTGCCTGCAGAAGGCACGCAACCAGCCAGCAGTCTGTGCCAGCACTGACCAGTTTCTGCAGAGAAAAGCGACAGACCAGGAGGAAGCAGTTCCTGGGAGTGAAAGTGGGAAGAAGCCTTGTTCCTGGCTTCTGTCATTGGAAGCCTACCTGTTGCTTTCTGTGCCTGGTGTCTCTCCTTTCAGAACAGCCAGGGACGCCTTTGCTATGGAACCTGGCCAGCTCTCGTGCCTCTGCACGCCCCCACAGGAGAGGACCATTGCTGATGATTAGCTGCGAGTCCGTAAGTACTCAACCCCCTACCTCCTGTGGGAACTAGTTAGCTCTGAAAAACCTGAGTTCTAGGAGGAAAGCTGCAAAAGAGAGAGGCTTGACTGAGGCCCAAACACTCCACTCCACAGCCTTCATTCATCTACAGAAACAATCCACTCCTTCACTGTCCAAAGTTAGCTTGTTTTAGTGGGGGGAGACAGAGAAGGGAATGAGGCTCCTGGGGACAAGCGCTGAATGGTAGTCCAGGCTGCAGAAGAGGAACGAAGCACCGCGGGACCCCTTGGTGAGTGGCTCCTGGCGCTGCGCAGACCCACGGCAACCTCACAGCAGCGTCCTTTTCCCAACATCCTTTGTGTGTTACACAACGCGTTTCAAGTGAATTACAGTTCAACGGGAAAGGACAGGGAATGGAGTGGCCTGAGCCCAGTGTGCCTTGAAACTCCCCTAAGACGAAACGGTGGGTAGACTCCTGTCATGGGCTTCTGCAGCCAGGCGCACGTGGGCACAGGGCCCAGCAAGAGCAGCAGTGGAAACCCTTTAGACAGAGGACAGGCATTTGGGGTGACCTTGGGTGACAGGCACAAGGGGCATACAATATACACCTGGTGACCTTTCATCTGAAAGGATCTCCAGTGCTTGCTGAAAGAAAAAAAAATCAAGTGAGGGGTTAAGGATGAAATTTTTCAATATGAGATTTGTAATATGTGAAGAAAATAAGGTGTAAAAGTGGGAATAGCATCCTAAAAGTGACACAACCAGCCAAAGCAGACACATCCAAAATCCCTGCCATGGGTGGCACCACCAGTTCGCCAGCCAAACCCACTGGAGGGCAAATGCTGCTGCTCTTGGGGAACGAAGTATCAGAGGTAGGACTGAGAGCAGGAAAAGAATGTTCCAGGATGCTGGCTTTTCGAAGGCACTCAAGGACAGAGAGAGAGAGAGAGAGACTGGAGTTTCAGGAAGACAACATAGGGTGAGAAAAGAGAGAGACTCATACAGCTACCACAGGCAAAGGCAGTAACCCCAGGAGCAGGGTGACCACACCTCTGCTACTGAGTAAGGGAGACAGATGCAGAGACCCACTCAACGGGCACTTTGCCACCACAACATGGCTTCTGCTGCGGGAACAAGACAGCCTGTGCAGCCCTGCTATCTCAGTGTGGCAAACGGTGTAGTCATCTGGGACTTGAACCAAAATGACTGAGCAAAGCCAAAGCTTTTAGGTTGGGATGACAACAGTCTCATTTTCCCTTGAGTTTTGCAAAAACCTATCCTCTAAGACTAAAAAGATCTGGTCATAAAGCCTATAAAAAAGTTGAGAGAGTATAAAAGTACGGGACTCAGAGTGGACACACTGATGGCAAGGGCTATGGCTTCCATAGAAAAGTGTGGAGAGGACCCCTGGTTGGTCGTGTCGAGGTAGTGTCCAGGGCGGGAAGGTCCTTGTTACTTATAAAAGCTACAGACGCAAGCAGGTGAGTTAGGGTGCCGTTATTGCATAACCATGCCACTCTCCTCAATGGCTTGTGACTTTTTTCACTCCTGGGGGGGGGTGGGAAACAGATCTTTCAGAAAACTGTTAATCTTATTATAAGTTGGTTTTGGGTAAAGGAAATTTGAACCCAATGTTTTTTTGCTCCATTTTATAGTCTGAAAATTTTGAGTTTTTATAATTTAAATAATATCTGATAAATTTCATAAATGTAAATTTTATCCCCTTTTTCATTAATCAGACTTCCCAGTCTAGAATAGCACTAAAGCATTTATCACATGGATCTGCAATGCAATCAAACATGTCCTGTATGTACAGTAGCCTGAACAGAAGGGTTTCTAGTTTTTCTTCTTTTACATTAAAATCCACCTCCCACGATGTGTTTTACTAATGTAAATTTGTAATGCATTTCTGTCTGCTTCACCTCCTCCAAATTTAAATAAAAATGAAACTAAACATATACATCCACTCAACAAACAACAACAAAAACAAGAAAACAAATTCCAAGCAGTAAAACATCCCAAGTTAGCAAGCACCGTTTAAGAGCTCATTTTGCTTCTCCTGGTTTGTATACTAAGAACAATCAAATGATAGAGACAGTGCTGTCAGTGAAAGGGATGTCCAAAAAACAGTCTGTAAAACAGGATGGGACACCCATGCGAACGCGCTCGCTCACTCATGAATGCAAGTGGCAGGGGACAAAACTCTATCTGCAAGGGTTTATTGGAACCCATTCATTAAGAATGAAATCACAAATGCATATGGGAATGAAGTCACAAAGACCCCCACTGTTGGTCTTCATCACTCAGATTTAAAACTCTAACTCGGCAGAGTCTCCCTGACTCCGTTTCCGAAAAGCAGCAGCCCTTTATTAAGCCTAAGGAAGAGCTGGTGTTTGAGTTGAGAAGTGCGTGGGAGAAGAACAGGAAAACGAAGGGGTCAGAAAATGAAAGGCTGACTCAAGACAATCCTTGGGAATTTCTCCCAAGTCAATCTTAACCCTAGCAATGACACAAGCCCTTCAAGACAGTACAATGAAGTAATGACAGATATCCTCAGTTTGCTATCTAGAAATGCTAAAATATGACCCCTGTTTGAAAGACTTAATCTACAGATAGGGGCAGAGAGCTCAAATTCCTCCTTGCTTCCTTTTTTCATCCACAGGTAACAAGTAGGTAGTAAGTTGGGAAGAATTTACATGCGACAGAGCATGCCCCAGAACACCACTTCCCTCTGAGTGGAAGACCCCAACCTCATTCTTCAGCCCTGAGTTTGGGTCTTACATGCATGTGAAATCTGATGCACACATACGTTTAAGGCTTCAATCTACAGACCTTAATTTTCAGAAGCATTGCTGTGAATGTTCTCGATGCATTTTGCTATCCACTCTCCAGGCATCAGATGGCACTGATCAACAGTCCTTAAAAATTCTAAGTACAAATCCCGAGTCAAGGAAGGTGTAATCGTTGGGGAAAGCTCTGGATTGTTCCACAATACACTTTACTAAGAACTGGACTATGTGACAATGCTAAATTTTGTAAATTCCCTTCCTCCTTCCGCCTGTTATGGATGGTGGTGATTTTGCTTAATATCAGCTTTTCTCTGTAGTGGTACTTATGGCTATAGTTACTTGAATGGAAAAAACAAAACAAAGGTAACTACCTGAATTTTCCAGTGTATAGTTGTAGTACACCTCAGAAAATGGTTGATTCAACAACGGTCTTGAGTCTAGAATTCAGGATTGTTGACCAATACTGTAAATTTACATAGAACATAATAAGGTACAACCAATTAACTATGCTATATTTTTAAACATTTAAAAATATTTTTGCATTATAGTCTTGACCATAAAATAGTGATTCATCTACACAGCAGGGTAGACTGACAAAACCGTCCTGGAATGCAGAGTGGAGTGTGCTGGGCGGGGAGGGGATAGTCACTGGGGACGGAATGGTCCTCAAAAGAATCGGCTTCCCTCGTGGGTTTAGGTAACTGGTTTCTCTAAGGACACACAGAAATACTAAAGTTACCACTCTTTAAAATGCACATTCCCAAACAGCAAGAAAAGTCTGCTTTGAGATACTTTTCTGTCTCACTGCACACTTTTCGTGCTGTTCAGAGAAAAAGGCAAGACCAGAAGGAGACAATTCAAAAAACATCAGGTGAAAAAGTGACTGGAGAATGTTACCTTTAACAGGGACTTAGCCTCAACTCCGAGGGGTCCACCCCCACCCCATCACAGAGCTAAGCAGCCAGAAAAGTGCTTAAAGTATTATCTGCACAATTAGTACTAAAAATAGAAAACAAATAAAAAAACAGGGTTCTAATTCAGGCAACGATTTCAGAGTCTGAGGAGAGAAAAATGAAGAAATTTCAAGAGTGTGAAGTGGAGGAGGGGGCGGCGAGACGAGTGACCTGGCCTGGAAACTCAGCCCTCCGGGAGGAGGAGTTGGATCAGTTACACGTAGCCGACAGGGCAACCCTTCTGTTCAGCCTTTCTCATAGCGAGCTCCTGGATGACAGTGCGCTGCTCAAGTTCCCCAAATCTGAAAATGTCACCTGTCTGCAGGTGTGAGAGGGGCTGTTCTTTGCACCTCAAGAGCACTGGGCAGCCACACTTGGCCTTTTCCCTGCCTACACTTCAAACTGCCAGAACCAGCACAAAGTTGCAGGCACTGCCATGGTTTACCAGCGAGAGATGTAAAAACTCACAATCAATTTGCTTTATCTAGAATGTGGAATCACTGATCTTGCACTTGTGTTTTTATTTACTTGGTAGCTTCTCAAAAAAAAAAAAAAAAAGCAATCTTACAACAAAGAGACTGCCTCTGTCATCCCCTGGAAGTCCAACTTTAACACAGTTTTTAAGAGAAGCCACTAGGCCACAGGACTGGCTGGAGATGGCTCCTGCCACAGAGGAAGGGCAGCCAGGCTCAGGGCCTTCCACAGCTGCACCCGGGAGGGGCGGGGAGGGGCGGGGCAGACGCAGCAGCAGTGTCTGTGTTAAGCACTAAGATTTATCAACTACCCAGCACAGCAGGCAACACCTGGCGTGTGCAGGAACCTGACCTGCGGACCCTCTCTTGCACAGGACTAGTCTCCGAAGCACCTTTGAGTTGTACGGACGTAAGAATAGCTTTGAATTATAGAAGTTATATGCATCTTTTAAGAATCACATTTTGATGATTATAAAATTTTTTTTTCTATTTTACAACATAGGTTCAGCTACACTGAAAAAATTACACCGCTTATTGAAATACATTTCATTTTAGAAACAGGCTACTAAAGAAGTCTATACAAAAACTCTAAAATAATTTTTGTAGTAAAATAAAGGGTGCGTTAGGAGAGCTACACAAAGAAGACAATTTCTGTCTTGCTCTATAATGCTTGATATACGGTGAGGGGCGGCTGAGCTCTGGAGCCAGCACCACCAGCTGAGAATTCATTACCATACACAGTGATACAATTAATGCTCTGGATTAATCTCACAGCCTTCCCGATTAGTATGAAGGAAAACCAGGCCTAGCCCCTCTTTGAGGGGAAGTCCAGGATATAAAAGCAAGCATACCTCATCAGCTGATATGAAATTATAAAATTCCATAAGTCTGCATATCTGAAACCTATAAACGTCATCAGAAAATGCAAGCGAATTGGGCTTCAGTTCGGTGGTTCCCCTGGGACAGCAGAAGGCAGCCTTCTCAATCACTCCCTCGGGCAGAGAGACGCCGGGGAGGCCTGAGAACCGCGCGGGCAGCGGGGCAGCGGAGCACCGGGCTGAAGGAGGCCGACGCTAATGTTGCTGCTGCGGCGGTGGCGGCGGCGGTGGCGGCTGCGGCTGCTGCGCCGCACTGGTCTTCTCCGCCAGGTGCCGCAGAAAGCTGTCCTCGCTCTGGCCTCTGTGATTTAAAGGCTCGCTCTTAAAGAGGGCTGGAGGCGGCGGGAGGTGAGGCACCGGAGGGATGGGAAGGTGGTGTGGGTGGTGTGGGTGTGGGTGGATGTGCAGGTGCGAGAAGGGGTGAGGGATGGGCCGGGGGGGAAGCGCGCTGCCAGGGTTCATGTTGATGGGAGCGGCGGGAGTCGCCGGGGTGTTCACCACCGAGGGCATGGGAGTGGCGGGGGCTGCTGTAAGTGGGGTCTGGACAGCAGGCGGCACGTTCACAGGGCTGGTCACCCGGAAACATTTCTCCTTGTGAGCCTTGAGCATGTTGGAGAAGCGGAAGCGCTGGCCACACACGTCACATGGGTAGGGCTTCTCCCCGGTGTGCGTTCTGCGGTGCCTCTTCATGTTGGGGCGGCTGGTGAAGCTTTTGCCACAGATTTCACAGATAAAAGGTTTCTCTCCTGAGGTGAACACAGAACACTGATTAACACACCGGGCCGTGTACTCCCGCTGTGCCTCTGGGGTTAGGAGGGGTCACCATCTCACTCCCTGACACTGATCACCTTCTCCAAAAGTCAAAGAGCACCCCAAAACAGGGGCTTCAATCTTCAAGGATGATGCCAGTAAACTTATGGCAGCCTAAAAGGGGGGCTCCTTCCAGAAAGAGGGGTGAGGGAGGAGACCCCCCACAGTGGGCACGCTGGGAGCAACGCCCCTCATCCAGGCCTCAGGCTGTTACCCTAGAGTGCTCCCACCCAAAGGAAGATGCAGAAACTGGCTCCTGAGCTGACGGCGGTGCACCAAAGCTGGAGCAAGGAGCCTGCTGCTGGTACCAGACTCGCCCTGTAGCTCAAGCTTCATCTGCCCCTGCCGTGCAGCTATGGGAGCACTCCCACACACATACACAATTCTGCCCCATGGGGGTCTCCCGCACACAGGAGAGCCTTCAGCACCCCTGGGACCTGCCTCTCACATGTCCCTTGGTGGTTCTGAACATCACAATTGTCCTTACACTGTTGTGGTTTTTACCCTCCTTTCTTTCTTCTCGAGTCCCTGACCATGTCTTCCTGCTTCTCCATCCAGGCTTTGAATAGCACACAACTGTGTCTACTCACCCCTTCACAGGAGTGTGAGGTGAGGGGCAGCCCCGTGCACAGGCCTCTGGTAGCCGCATTTACCAGTTTCTGCCTCAGCTCGCAGGGTCTGCAGGAACACCTGCTCCCAGGGCTGCTGTTCCCTGCCCTTCCAGGAGGCGAGCTAGCATCCCTGTGTGGAATTTTACACACACTACACATTGCTACAATCCCTTCACATTCACTAATCTCATGATTTTCATGGCCACAACATGCTATCATCCTTCTTTTGCTGGTAGAGTATTAGGCAACCCACCCAAGGCCATTGGCTGCAGTCCAGCTCTTGAACCTGTGCTTCTGACACCTGAAGCACAGCCCTTCCTTTCCAATTAAAACTGCGTTAGGTTGCAGCTTCTTGCAGTCCTCCTCCACTGTGAAGGGATGCAACTTCTTACTGTCTTCCTTCATTGTGGGACTTCTATCTTAGCTAGCAAACACCTCTTCCTCCACATCAGAACACTATTTCTTCCCTTCTCATTCTAGAAGAAAACTGACACCTCTTCACAGAAGCCAAAACTTGCCTTTACCTCCCTAAGAGATGGGCTACAGGGGTTAGCAAGGATCCGTTTTCTCTGTAACCATCACTACTAGTTCAGAGTACCACACTGCTCTCTCTCTTTACCCTTCACTATTCAAATCCTGCCATTGCTGGGTTCTTCACTGGGACTTGGGCTCGGCTGCCTGCAGGGTTTGGGCTGAATCTGCCACTCTTTTTCTCAATCTGTTTTCTCCAATCACCTTAAAAACTTCAAATTCTATATTAACAGAACTTCATTAAATCAGTTCTGGTGCATCCATGACTGGCAGAGAATGCTCTGACAAGAACTCTGTAAGGTAGTATCTATAACCCATTAAGTAAAATAAGAAAGTTACAAAAATGAATATGTGTGATTATTATCTATTTTTAATGGAGTTACCCAAAGAAATATATAGAAAGAAATATAGCCCATATGATCAGTGATTCTCTCCACGTAACAGGGTCCTGAGTGATGGCTTACTTTGTATGCTAATCTGTATTTCCTGATTTTCTAAAATCCACATGGCTTACTTGTACATGTTGCCATAGCATACCTAACACCCTGCAGACTCCCAACAGCTAGAGGAAACAGAACCACAGAACCCCAACATTTGAAACATTAGCACGTATAAGCAAATATATCCCATCCTGGGATCCTGGTGCATGCGAGGCAAGGACTCTAGCCACTAGGCATTAACATCATTAACTTTTCCTCCTTTGTTCTAATTCCTGTTCCTGATAATCTTCTGACTATAATTCACCTTGCAGTATTTTTCCTTAAATGAATATGCTGACCAAAGAGTGCCACTCAGCCATTTCACTGCAAATTAATAAGTAAGCCATTTTATTTACATATTAATAGGACCATGTGTCACCTACCAGTCTCTCTGACCCTGATCTGCTTGCATATACTGACAAACACTGGAATCTGGAAGTCAGATTCTAGAATGCCAAATTATTACTTTTTAAATTTTATTTGAAAGACAGAGAGAGAGAGAGACACTATCAGACAGGTCTTTCATCGTTAGTTCACTCCCAAAATGTCCCCAGGGCTGGGCTGTTAAGCCAAGAGCTAGAACTCAATCTGGGTCTCCTACGAGGGTGTCAGGGATCTAAACACTTGAGCCATAATGTACTGTTACTCAGGATGCGTGTTAGTAAGAAGGCAGAATCAGAAGAGGAGTCAGGACGTGAATCCTAGCCCTCTGATGTGGGCCTGAGGCATTCTAAGTGGTATCTTGGCCTCATGCAAAGCACCCAGCCTAGAAAAGTGCTTTCTGTCCTTTCCCTTTAGAAATACGTGTGTGTTTTAAATATTTATTTATTTATTATTGCAAAGTCACATATACAGAGAGGAGGAGAGACAGAGAGGAAAATCTTCCATCTGATGATTCACTCTTTAAGCAGCCACAACAGCCGGAGCTGAGCCAATCCAAAGCCAGAAACCTGGAGCATCTTCCGGGTCTCCCACACAAGTGCAGGGTCCCATGGCTTTGGGCTGTCCTCCACTGCTTTCCCAGGCCACAAGCAGGGAGCTGGATAGGAAGTGGGGCTGCCGGGATTAGAAACAGTTCTGATATGGGATCCTGGCACATGCAAGGCAAGGACTTTAGCCGCTAAGCCCAGAAATGTGTGTTTAAGTCAGCTGAGTACAGAAGTGTTTTGTAGGGGCTGGTGTTGTGGCATGGTAGGCTAGGTTCTCCGCCTTTGGTGCCAGCATCCCATGTGGACACTGGTTCATGTCCTGAATGTTTCACTTCTGATCCAGCTGCGTGCCTTGGCCTTGGAGGTCAGCAGAAGATGGCTCAAACCCTTGGGCCCATGTGCAGAACCTGGAGGAGAATCCTGGCTTTGGATCAGCTCAGCTCCAGCCATTGAAACTGTTTTGGGAATCAGCGGGTGACAGAGGATCTCTCTCTGCCTTACCCTCTCTCTGTAAGTCTGCTTTCCAGACAAAAATAAATAAAACTTTCTTTTAAAGTGTTTTGTAGTTAATTCTCAAGACAAATACCCACAGCCCCGCAGCCTTAATGGTACTTCTGGTAACCCACCCATTTTTCCTCATAAGCAGCTAACATCTCAGAATAGATCCTCCAACAGAACTATGTTACTAATAGATTATTTAAGGTGAAAATCTGGAGGAAGCTAACAAGCATGGTTTTTTCTCAGTGAGGTTAATGAAACTTCCTACAATGACAGTAGACTTTCAGCAGACACCACAACAAAGCACCATCACTTGCTGAAAGCTACAAAACAGAAGATGTTTTCAACAGTATTTTATTTTCTATTAGAAAAGTCTTGGGCCCAGCGGCATGGCCTAGTGGCTAAAGTCCTCGCCTTGAATGCACCGGGATCCCATATGGGCGCCAGTTCTAATCCCAGCTGCTCTACTTCTCATCCAGCTCTCTGCTTGTGGCCTGGGAAAGCAGTCAAGGATGGCTCAAAGCTTTGGGACCCTGCACCCATGTGGGAGACCTGGAAGAAGTTACTGGTTCCCGGCTTCGAATCGGCATGGCATCGGCCATTGCGCTCACTTGGGGAGTAAATCATCAGACGGAAGATCTTCCTCTCTGTCTCTCCTCCTCTCTGTGTATCTGACTTTGTAATAAAATAAATCAATCTTTAAAAAAGAAGTCTTTAAATTACATTAAATACGTATCTTTCTCCTAACTAAAGGAAATTTAGTTTTTCCTATGCTGCCTATCAAACAGCAGGATCGCCAACAGTGCAGTATGATGACTGCTACCCTGGACCTCAGCCTGGAACCAAATGCATACACTGCCACACTTCACTGAATGGAGGGACATTTTTTATATTTGTGATGTCCTTCATATCCCGCCATTTTATTACTTGCTATATTAAATTTATATCAGCATCATTTAAGTGTGTGTTTCTTTATCAATATCATCATCTTTATCATACATCAAACTGTAAGCTCTTAGAGGTCAGAAACTTGATCGAACTCATCTGTACGTCCCTGGGCATACTGCACCTGCCTAACACAAGAGAATCAGCCAGAGTTCTACTCTGCATTCACCTGGTATCCCCACATCATCCTAGGAAACCCGGCCTGATGGCTGGTCAGCTTCCCTAGATTAAGACCTGCCTCTTCAAACACAAAGAAATATCCCAATGGGCATCAGTTCCTACAGCAGCCTTTTCTTCTCTGACACCACCTCTTCCTCTTCCTCCTCGGGCACCACGGACTTCTCTAGCATCCGAGAAGCAAACCCCGCCAAGGCTGCGTTGTTCTGCTCGGGAAGGTGAGCTAGGCATCTCCAGCTCTGTCATCCAGCTGCTCTTTCAATCTGAGTATTACACATGATACTAAAAGGTAGCGGACAAACCAGGGGATTACCAATGTCAACCAAGATCCAGTGCATTTAATACACAAAGAGCTGTTATAAACAATAAAGAAAGTCAAACACTTGCAATGGGAAGATGAGCAGAGAAACGGCATAAGCAACTCAGAAAATATACTGATGTCTACTAAGACAATGAAAAAACGTTCAGCTTTGCTTGATCATTGAACACCTGTAAATTATACGGTAAGAAGCTATTTCTGGGACAGCACTGTAGTGCAGTGGGTTTAAGCTGTAGCCTGTGATGCTAGCATCCCATATGGTTGTCAAAGTATCAGCTGCTTTAAAGATTTATCTGATTTATTTGAAAGGTATATAAACAAATAAATAAATGCACTGTTTACCCCCCAAATAAGTAGCATATTGTGCATTACAATGCCTATTATTTACAGTAAAATTACAAAAAGGAAATTTCAATTATACTTTATACCAGTTATACTTCTGATAATTATACTTCTGATAATGATATAGTAAAACACAAATAGGTTATAACACAGAAGACAGACCCAATTTTTATTTTGTTATAATATATGTGAGTAAAGAAACACACATATTCTCTGTCTAGATGTGTTAAGAAACTGAAGGGGGGTAGGGGGGCTAGTTTTGTGGCATGGCTGGTAAAGCTACCACCTCCGAGGTCGGCATCCCAAATGGGCATCAGTTAAAGTTCAGCTGTTCCACTTCTGATCTAGTTCCTTGCTAATGTAATTGAGAAAACAAAGGAAAACAGCCTAAAGGCTTGGACTCCTGGCACCTGTGTATAAGATGTGCATGAAGCTCCAGGGATCTGGCCTTGGTTTGACCCAGAACTGGCAGCTGCAGCCATTTGGAGAGTAAGCCAGCAGACAGACGATCTCTCTCCCTCTCTCTTAACTCAGTCTTTCAAATAAAATAAATCTTAATGAAAGAAACCCAAACAGCAGCTAAGCAGGAACACCTCCTTCAGGGGTTTTCTCCAGCAGACTAATAGAAACCAGGATCTCATGATCAGACTTTATTTGGAAACCTGAATGATGTTTCATGCTGCCTCATTTTGTGCAAGGCAGGCTAACCCCAGAATGTCAAATTCAGGTTGAGATGTTTATGAGGGGAACTGTGGCTTTAACTAGTTTCCTGGAAGTTGGACAATCCCAGGGATGCAGGATTCAAGTTGCTGTCCCTAGAAACACAACAAGGTTACAATATTACTTAACCTCCCTTAATGGATATGGTCCTGCAAAGCAGTGAATTTTGGCAAAGAACACTAATGGAACTTGTAGCCAACTCAAAGAGTCCCCTACTTAGAGCAGGCAGTGCCCTCCACAAGGCTTTCCTTAGAAACAGAAAGACACACACACCATCACCAAGGTTCTCACTATTTCAGAACTAGAAGCTTCCAAGCCACAAGCAGTTAAGCCACTGTCTTATAGGAACCAGAGTCAAGGCACTCATAAATAACGGTTTCTTAAATAGTTACAAAAGTCAAACTTTTAGTATTGTAAATCCCTATCTTTACACACCACACTTCTTGAAAATGGATTTCTATTCGGAAGGCAAATTTAGAGTTGTTTTAAAAAACAAACCCACAGATGGTTACAAGTAGTTGCAACTCAGTGTACCTTTCCCAGGAAATCCTTACCAGTGTGTGTTTTCATGTGTTCGTCAAAGTACTGCTTCATGTTGAAGTCCTTGCCACACCACTGGCACATGAACTGCTTGTGCCCAATGTGGATGCTCATGTGGGAGCGCAGCTGGTACTTGTACTGGAATCGTTCGTCACAGTTCTGCACAGGACACACAGGGAAATTCTTAAATGCCAAGCACAGGAGCTTTACCTGAGCCCACCCTGACACGTCTGCAACATCAAGTTCATTTTTTCACACTCAGAACAGAACATGGTGGGTAAGCTGTTTGGATTTGCTGTATTTCTGGAGCTGAGTTACCAACAAAAGAGAAATGTTCTTGTACAGTGATTGCTAAAAGACTCTCAACGTCTTTGAACCACTGTGAAAGCTAAGTTAGTCTACGCCATTCCTAGGCTAAACTAAGGGAGCTAACAGGCTTAAAACTGATGCTGGTTGATGCGGCCTTGGTGATGCAGCAGTGCCTAGATCCCATACAGTTAGTTCATGTCCCAACTGCTCCACTTCCCATCCAGCTCCCTGCTTGTGGTCTGGGACCCTGCATCCACTTAAAAGACTCAAAAGAAGCTCCTGGCTCCCAGCTTCATATCAGCTTAGTTTTAGCTGTTGTGGCTGTTTGGGGATTGAAGCAGCAGATGAAAGATTCTCTCTGTAAAAAAATGTTTCGAAGGTGGTATGTTGGCTCGACTGGCTGATCCTCCCAATACGGGTGCTGGGTTAGTGTCCTATTTGCTCCACCTCCCAACCAGTTCCCTGCTTCTGTTCTGGGAAAGCAGCATAGGATATCCCAAAGCCTTGGGACCATGAACCCACATGGGAGACCTGGAAAAAATTCCTGGCTCCTGGCTTCAGACTGGCTTAGCTCTGGCCATTGTGGTCACTTGGGGAATGAACCAGTGGATGGAAGGTCTTTGTTTTGTCTCTGTAAATCTGACTTCCCAATGACAATAAATCAAGCTTAAAAAAAAAAATCTGCCTTTCAAATAAATAAAATAAATCTTTAAAAAAGAAAAAGAAAATGTATACAAGGGCTTATACCAGGGTCCTGACACTGCTCCCCTAGCAGACAGATGGCATACAGCGGCTGAGTTGTGGATCTGTGGGACATGTAGAAATATGTAGGTGTGGCAGGCAGCCTGTGCCTGTGCCCCAGCATTGCTCCCACTGCCCCATCATCAGCTTGCTGTGGGCAGCATGCTCTCCTTACCTCACATCGGAACGGCTTCTCTCCAGAATGCTGCAAGGAGTGCACCTTGAGTGACATACTGCGCTTGAATGATTTTCCACAGGTTTCACATGTGAATGGCATGTCTTTCGTGTGTGCTGCAACACAGAATGTACTTGTCCTCAAAATAATTCCACCCAAAGGTTCAAACTAGGAAAGACAGATGTTCTAGTGGTGGGAGGCAATTGGGCAACAGGATTTCTACACTGAGGAGAAAGACAATATGGAAAACAAGCCCAGTGTGGTACACTGTGTCACCCAGTGTGACAACACTTACTGAAGATACACCGTGCTTAGCTTGAACACATTAACACCAGCTTCTAGGAGGGCAGCTCCTACTATGCTGGCCAACTCAGAGTACCCAGCCAGAGCATGACAGAAATTACAGGGATGAGAGGAAAGCAGCAGCAAACTCACCAACCATGTGTTTCCGCACATGAGCCATGGTATAAAATTTCTTCTCACAAATTTCACAGGAAAACTTCTTCTCTGCGTATCCGTGGACAATCTTGATATGCTCATGAAGGGACCACAGCTTCTTGAAGGATTTGTTACAGGACACACACTAGGCAGGACAAACAGAAAATGCTCTTTCAAGTCTGGGCTTGCTGCCAGCCAAGCCACCCCTTCCCCACCTCACTCTCCCTAGCGCGAGGCCGGGATCCAGCCCAGTGCTAGTTCTGCAACAGGGCCGGATTCCAGCACCAACATCTCTGTGTTCTATTCTCCAAGCAGAACCTCTTCGAGATCCTTGGGGAGTGTGGAAACAATGGCAACAACTACAACAAGAGGCAGAAAGTTGCATGCCTACCAGAGACTTGACTATGGTCAAGTTAGCACTGCCTCTCTGAAGCTTCTGGTTTGTTTAACACACAGATTACCAAGTGCAGCTTCCCCCTATCCCACCACACACACACACACACACACACACACACACACACACACACACACACGTAGGAGATGGTTACCACTGACTACAAACTAACTTTAAATCAGCATAAACAAAGACAGGATAAAACTGTATATATATACATATATACACACAAATATATATGTATATATATACACACACAATGATTGCATATATATAAAACAATATATATACACAAATGTTTATATGTAGATCTGTATGAATATAAAAATGTTTTAGAGCTTAGAAAATGCATTTGAGGCTTCATTAACATAGATCACTGTGATTTTATTCAACTTTCCCAAATCTAATGTACTCTATTTAAACATCTGACCCTGGTAGAACTTAACACAACAGAGTTCTGGCAGAACTCAGTCAGCACCATCCACCCATCTCCCTGTACCCCAGCTCCAGGTGTCTTTCATACCCATCTACAGGAAACGCTTGCCAGCTGCCCAGTCCCTTCTGTCATGAATCATCAACAGCCTGAACTATGGACATAAATCACACCAAAATAAGGTATCTCTGGTTAAGCGAAACAAAGCCAGCAAGTTCCAGGTGATCGTCAGACTTTGCGATACTTAAGGGGAAAAGTGAGTATTCACGGCAGAAAGGAGCACCGTGTCACCTCCAGGGGAACAAGTGGGTGAGAAGAGTTAAAGATGAATCTCTGGGTGGGTGGATACCACTCGAGCAGACGACAGACCCCGCCTGCCTATGAGCGACTTGGCAGGGCAGGGTTTGGATTTTTACTTGCTACCAGGCCATCAGGATTATTAGGATCTGTTGTAACAACAAAGAATAAGGTTCTTTAGGAACGGGAAGCAGAATCTACAAAAAACTAAAACACAAGTTTAAACATATTAATGATGAGGAATAGTTAGGAAAGTCACACAAAGGTCCATTAGATGTTTTCTGTAATTAAAAAAAAAAGCAAATTTAAGTTAAAAAACAAACAAAAAACAAAAGAAATCCTCCCTGGGAAGATCAGGAACACCTTTTTGGTAATGCAACAATGTGGAATGGAGGTCTGACCCCTAGGGTGCAGCACTGCACCACGCACCCATGGCCTGAACTGTCTAAGCCAGGACACTGGCAGTTACTGTGTGTGTGTGTGTGTGTGTGTGTGTGTGTGTGTAGGGGGGAGGGCATGAGAACCAGGGTTCAGCCTTATGCTCACCCGACATGTCAGAGATTAGAACACAACTGACAAATCAAAAGCAGCTGGGGTTTTTAGCGAACATAATTTATATATGTTTTGGAAAGTTCTTTAAAGCAATGATCATCTCAGCTGTGGATAAAAGCTGAAGACAAACTTAAAGATAACCACCAATATTTGCAGCACTCAAAAATCAACCAATTTACCGTTTAAGTTTACATTAAATATGATATGAAACATTGTACTTTGCATATTTTACAGACATTAACACACTTACCTTTGGGGAATATTTAATAACGAGAGTCACACAGACACACGGACAGAGCCGTGACCCACTCAACACGATCAGTGCCCCTCTGCACCTACCGCAATATTGTTCTTCAAGACACCAGCCTGGCTCCAACAGCCTACTTTGCTACCTGAACACAGCACTGCACAGTAGCATTATGTAACCCTATCCTCAGGTAGGCACCGATTGCAACAGGTTCAGCCTCGGTTTAAAGTCTGCATATTCCCATGGACTCAGCCTCTTGACCAATTTAGTGTAGTCATCTCTCCATTGCTGAAAGCAAACTCCTTCTGGAGCTCTTCCATTTCCACCGGTCTGAGTCATTAACGGTTTCGGGCCCCATCTGCTCCACTAGAATCTGGCATCCTTTTACATGGAAAGGGATTTTTCTCTGCTTCTGACCTTCACTCAATCATCTCCCACCTTGACAGAGAAGGTGCCAGTATGTGTTTCTACAAGTTCTACAAGAGTGAATCTCAGAGCAAAGTCGCTGTTGACTTTACATCCTGGTCAAGCATCTATGACAGATCCCCGTTCCACAATACCTGTATTCCTACTAGTCAAGTGGATCAGTTAGAAGTTATGCTTTTGTGATAAACTGTTAGGCCTCAGTTTGGAAAGAGACCACAGCGGGAGCTTCTAATAGTGACCGAGTGGTGAGATCTGTCCCTTCAGCCTCTATTGGATATTCTATTGGGCAGTTACCAGATGAATCTCAACAGCCAGGTCCTATGCTGGAAAGTGCGCCCACTCGGTGGTAAAAACCTACCTGGATGTTTTTTTCACAGTCTGTTTGCTGGTGAAGGGACAGCTCACTTTCCAGGACAAACTTCTTGCCACACTTATCACAAATCTGCATGCGCCTATGAGTAACGTTCATGTGCTTCTCCAGGTACCAGCGAGTATTAAACACCCTGGGGCACTTCTCACAGGTCAGAGTCTCTTTCTCTTCACACTGAGCTTTCTGGACTGGTGCTTTGGGCTCCTTTGCGGCCCGCTTCTTACGCTTAGGTGGCTCTACACTCTTCCTACGCCCTCTCGTGGCTCTGGGAGTAGGGGAAGCGGCAGCTGTGGCAGCCGAGGCCGCTCGCCGGGTCCTCCTTTGCGAGACGCTGACCTTCTCCACTATCTTCTCCTTCTTCTTCTGCCTTGCGTTCTCTCCATAGTCATGGCTGTCGTCTGTGGCCTCTTCCTCACTCTCTTCCTCTTCCTCCTCACTGCTTGTCTTAAGAACAGGAGTCTCTTTGGACTGGGAAGAGACACCCTTTTCCCCTTTAGATACATTTAAGGTTTGATTATTAAGGTTTACCTCCACTATGATCTGCTCCCTTTTGTAAGAGACCTCCTCCTCCTCTTCTGTGTCATCAGAATTCTCCCGGTCTTCCTTGACAGCATGCACGTCAGACACGGCTCTTGTCTCCCTGAAATATGGCTGTTCCTCTGTTTCGTGCAGATGGGGTTTGCTCATCTTGGTGTCCACCAGCACAGAATAAGGACTGCCTGATTCCCTTTTGTACACTTTGGTGGACAGGTCAAGTTCTTGGTTGGCACCATGATAAAAGGTGGATGGCACTTGACCACGGCGGCTATCTTCTTGTGCCATCCCTGCTACATGCACAGCACAGTTTTCAACCAGCTCCTGACAAGAACTGGCTGTGTGGCTCATTGGTAGGTGACCTGACTTATTCTAAGCAGTTCAGACTATAGAGAAATTAGCTTTAAAACAAGGTAATTATTAAGACTCTAGTTGTTTTTCCATCCGCAAAGAATCACTCAAATGAAAAATTGATATTCCTGGAACCTGTGTACAATTCTTCCAGTGTTGCAGCACCAAAGCATTAGGTTGAAAGGTTTGGTATCATGGCAAGAGCAGAGCACTAGGGATTTTCCTTCTGAAGAGAGCTGCAAGGACTTGGAGCATCTTATCTACAAAGAAAAGCAAAGTGGGGAAATCAGAAACCACTAGTTCTTTCTTATATTGTTCATTTAAAGCATAACAAATACCGGTTAAAACGATTCAACTATATATGCAATGCTTTATAATGCTTAAATGTTTCAGTATGGGTCACTATTTTACTGGATTGGAATATATGAATTTGCAAACATGTTCTGTCAGAATGTCAATTCTGGGGTTGGCATTTGTGGCAAAGCAGGTAAAACCACCACCTGTGACGCTGGCATTCCACAGGGGGAAGGGGGCAGTTTATGTCCCGGCCGACCGACTCCCAATCAAGCTCTCCGCTAATGGCTTGGGGAAAGCAACAAAGAATGGCCCCAGTGTCTGGGCCCTTGCTACCCAGGTGGAGACTTGGATGGAGTTTTTGTCTCCTGGCTTTGGCCTGGCCAAACCTTGGCCATCATGGACAGCGAACCATGGAGGGAAGATTTCTTTCTCTGTCTCTCCAACTCTGACTTTCAAATAAATTTTAAAAATAGAATGTAAATTCTATTCCAGTAACAGCCACACCTGTCCAATTCACCAAGACCCTCAAAGCTTAGTATAATGCCCAGAATATAGCAAATATTTGATGGCTAAATATACACTATTACAAGCATTTCTTTTTAAAAATTTGTGGGGGCCCAGCACAAGCCTAGTAGCTAAAGTCCTCATCCTGACTGCGCCAGGATCTCATATGGGCACAAGTTCTATTTTTTGTTTTCCCCAAATGTATCAAGTATTTATTGACTTTAAAAAAAAAATAATCTTACATAGTTGATTAGGGTACAAAGGGTCAAGGGCTACAGGAAAGTGATAAGGGTAAGACCATTGTTTCCACACTAATATCATCAATTTTTCTCCCTGTATCTGGGGTCAGGGAAGAAACAAAGGGAGAAGCCCCACCCAGCCACCCACCCGTCCCATGGGCACCAATTCTAATCCTGGCTATTGCACTTTCCATCCAGCTCCCTGCTTGTGGCCTGGGAAAGCGCTTGAGATCCTGCACCCACATGGGAGATCTGGAAGAAGCTGCTGGCTCCTGGCTTCGATCGGCTCAGCATTAGCTGTTGCGGCCACTTGGGGAGTAAATCAGTGGATGGAAGATCTTTCTGTCTTTCCTTCTCTGTAAAATCTGCCTTTCCAATTAAAAAAAAAAATCTTTAAAAAAAAAGTCTTTCAAGTAATGAGAAATAAATCTTACCAAAAAATAAAGAGAAATAAGAACTGAATAACTGATGACAATAAAACACATTGGTGGTATAAAAAAAAGAATTTACGAGCCTGGGGCAATAGCCTAGTGGCTAAATTCTTGCCTTGCATCTATTGGGATCCCATACAGGAGCTGGCTCATATCTCAGCTGCTCCTTTTCCCATCCAGCTCCCTGCTTATGGCTTGGAAAAGCAGTAGAGGATGGCCCAGGGCCTTGGGACCCTGAACCCACATGGGAGACCTGGAAGAAGCTTCTAGCTTCAGCCTGGCTCAGCTTTGGGCCTTGCGGCCACTTGGGGAAAAAATCAGCAAATGGAAGATCTTTCTCTGTCTCTTCTCTCTGCAAATCTGCCTTTCCAATAAAAATGAATAAATCTAAAAAAAAATCATTATAAATTTGTTTGAAAAGCAGAGTAAAAGAGAGAAAGAGACACACAGAGATTTTCTATCTGCTGGTTCACTCCCCAAATAGCCACAATGGCCAGGCTGATACCAGGATCCTGGAACTCCATCTGGGTCTCCCGCATGGGTGCAGGGGCCCAAGCACTTGGGTCATCCCCTACTGTCATTCCATGTGCTTAACAAGAAGCTGGCCTGGAAGCAAAGCAGCTTGAATTCTGATGTGGGATGTCAGCATTGCAAGCAGTAGCCTTACCACTGTGCCACAACATTGCCCCACTGCCTGCCTGCCTTTCTTAGATTCTTATTTTGTTTTAAAGAGTTACAGAGAGATCATCCATCCACTGGTTCACTCACCAGATGGCCACAGCAGCCAGGGTTGGGCCAGCCCAAAGCCATGATCCCAAGCACTTAAGCAATCCTGCTGCATTCCCAGACACGTTAGTGGGTAGGAAGATCAGAAGTGGAACAGCCCAGGACACGATCCAGCATCCATAAGGGATGCTAGCAACACACTACACCACAACATCAGTCACTACACACACCACAGTGAGAGCTTCTCTGAACAAAGGTGGTGAGTGGGGCAAGCACAGACACCATGGAATTAAAGCAGCTAACTGAAAAGCTACAGAAAGAAAATATCCTGGCCTTAGTCTCTAAGCTAGGTGTAGATTTAACTATTTTCAGATTTACTAGAATAATTTAAAAGTTGCTAAGCATTTTGAAATCTGTCCTACATACAGCTTTCTAGACCAAGCAGTAAAGGGGCAATTCCTGGTATGTCAGTTGTATGAAAGTCTAAGATACGAAGAATCGGTAACCATCAGGTTCCAAGAAAAGTGAAACAGACCACTGAAACAAAGATTAGAAGGGCACAATTTGGGTCGGCATGATAGCTTAGTGGCTAAAGTCCTCGCCTTGCATGCGCCAGGATCTCATATGGGCTCTGGTTAGTGTTCTGCCTACTCCATTTCCATCCAGCTCCCTGCTTGTGACTGAAAAAGCAGTCGAAGACGGCCTAAAGCCTTGGGACCCTGCACCCACATGGCAAACCCAGAAGAAGCTCCTGGCTCCTGGCTTCAGACCAGCTCAGCTCTCGCCATTGTGGACACTTGGGGAGTGAGCCAGCAGATAGAAGATTTTTCTTTCTGTCTGTCTGTCTCTCTTTCTCAGGGCATAGCTTGTATCCGGCCCTACCTCACACTGCTTTGTCAGGTGAGCTCCTAAGCTGACAGAGGATTCCTGGCCACTATTACTGTTTAATAACCACTACAAAACTGGGGTTGATTCTGAAATTCTTTTAATCAAAGTAATCATTAAAAAAAAAGTATTCTTAGCTGATCAACTCAAGTGTTATCAGTCCCACTCTAACCCATCTGAGTCCCATTCCCTAAAGAACAACTGTGTTTTTCGGCAGTTTTGTTTCTTGAAAGGCTTTAACTGTTAATTGTTGACAATGTAATGGGCTCTCTCTTTTTTTTTTTTTTAAGATTTATTTTATTTTTATTGCAGAGTCAGATATACATCCTGGGAAGCAGTGGGGATGGCCCATGTATCTGGGCCCCTGTCACCCATGCGAGAGACCTAGACTGAACCCTCAGCTCCCAGCCTCCACTGTGGGCATGTGGTAAATGAGCCAGGGCACGGGAGCTCTGTTTATCTATCTCTGGCTTCCACACAAACACAGCCCTAAGTAACCTAGTACTCGAAAACAGTGCACTTCAGGCTAGTCTTTACAGGCTAGAAGGGCAACCTCATAAGGCCTCTCAATCTGCTACTCTGCTTACTCCGCTTCTTTCAGCTGACCCAGTCTCAGCCATCCTGGCTGCTCTGCTTCCTATCTAACTCCTTGCTAATGTGCCTAGGAAAGCAGAAGATTATAGTCCAAGTGCCTGAGCGCTGCTACCCAGAGGGGAGCCCCAGAGAGAGTTCTGGGCTCCTAGTCAGCTTGGCCCAGTCCTGGCTGCTGTGGCCATTTGGGGAGTAAACCAGTGGATCAAAGTTTGCTTTGTCTCTCTGTTTCTGTACCTGCCTTTCAAAAATAAAAAGTTGAACTATAATGTCTACTAGCTTGAGTGACCCTGAGCAACCTGACCTCTTTATGTCTCATTTTCTGCTGCTGTAAAATGCAGATAATGACAGTATCTACTCCAAAGACTGTTACTGATATAAATGTTTATGAAAGTCTGCAGCCACAGAAAGCACTGTTATTATAACTGTTTAAAAGCACACTCACCAATACGTTATGTTGTACAGGTGATTACATGGTGCATCAAACGGAAGTGAACGTGTCAGTGGAAGCTTCAGATAAGGCAGTCAGATCGGTCCTAAAGGACAAGCACATGACGGACCCGGGGGCTCTTTGCACAGGGGCAGCATTGCACGAAATGGGTGAGGACAAAACCACACCAGTTTATTGATGTAAGCATCACTGCCCACAGTGACTTGGGCTGTGGTTCCTATTTTTACAGCTGAGGCTCAGTTCAGCAGTAACACTGCTGGTAAGAGATGGAGCAAGCACTAAAATTTTGTTTTGTTGTTTAAGATTATTTATTTGAGGGGCAGCGTTGTGGTGCATCAGGTAAACCTTCTGCCTGAAGTGTGTGCCAGCATCCCATACAGGTACCAGTTTAAGTTCCAACTACACCACTTTGGATCAAGCTCCCTGAAAAGGTGCCTGGGAATACAGAAGAGGATGGCTCAGGTCATCAGCCCTGCACCTACATGGGATATTCAGAAGAAGCTCCAGGCTCCAGATCAGCCCAGCTCTAGCCTTGAGGCCATTTGGGTAGTAAACCAACAGATGGAAGATCTCTCTGCATCTCTCCTCTCTGTAATTCTGTCCTTTAAATAAAAGATCTTAAAAATATTTTTTAGGGTCCAGCGCAATAGCGTAGCCTAGCAGCTAAAGTCCTCGCCTTGAACACACCAGGATCCCATATGGCTGCAGGTTCTAATCCCAGCAGCCCTGCTTCCCATCCAGCTTCCTGCTTGTGGCCTGGGAAAGCAGTTGAGTATGGCCCAAATCTTTGAGACCCTGCACCAGCGTGGGAGACCCAGAAGAGGCTACTGGCTCCTGACTGGCTCAGTTCCAGCCATTGTGGCCACTTGGAGAGTGAGCCATCGGACGGAGGATCTTCTCTGTCTCTTCTCCTCTGTCTCTTCTCCTCTCTGTATATCTGCCTTTCCAATAAAAATATATATTTATATCTATATAGATAGATAAAATAAAGACTTATTTTTAAAGTCAGAGTTACACAGACAGAGGAAAGACAGAGATCTTCTATCTGTTGGTTCACTTCCCAAGTTGCCTCAAATGTGGAGCTGGGCTGGTCTGAAGCCAGGAGTCAGGAGCTTCTTTCAGGTCTCCTACGTTCA